AGGGCCGGGCCGGGCCGGGCCGGGCCGGGCCGCGCGGTCTCCTGCCGTCCCGGGGTGAAGCGTTTGCATGAGTGAACATAGGCCGCCTCTCCCGCAGGCCCTGCTCAATTATTACTGCCAAGAAGGCTACTTCCACCATGTCCGGGCTGCGGCGGATGAGGCGCTGGGGCGGCTGGGCAGCGATCCGGTGTTCCTTTTCTACCGGGCCTACGGCGCCCTGAGGGCAGGTAAAGGGGGACTGGGGAGCTGGGTGTTGGGTCCCGTCCCTCCGCAGCCCTCCCAAAGCGCTGGTCTTCTCTGCCTTGCAAAACGCAGTCTTTAGTCTGCTACGCAGAAAGAAATCGATGTTACGGAGTCTGAATGTTTTACATGTTGACAAGATTACCGGTGTTTCATGATCTATCACACACACGCGTGCATTTTGAATGAAACTGATCTAGACAACGTAGTGCTGAAATGAGAAATAGTGAATATCTCTTCTTTTGGGGGGGGGAGGGGAGAGGTGTTTTGGAGTTTTCTGTTTGTTTTGGGTTTTTTTTAATGGTTACATGAACATGGGTCAGGTAAATGCGTTCCTTGGGGGGAATTTGAGCCCTGTCCAAATGCCCATTGCAATGTGCTTGTTCAAGTAAATATTTCTTGCCTTCAGTGTAGCTGTATTTAACTTGGTTATATCCAGCTGCACAGAGGAGCTGACAGTTAATACCTGTTGGGAGGATCTTTGTGTACATTAAACTGTTTTGAGAATTTTATTTAGGTAAATCCACATTTCAAGGATATCACAGAATACTAACAAGTAACCCAAAGTGGGGGAGGGTAGTGACAGGGGGCTAGGAAGGATTGAAAAGATTGAAAAGGGGTATCTGTTCCCAGACTCCCTGACTTTTTTTTGTTTGTTTTACAATCATACATTCCTTTTTTTCAAGATGTCTCTTCTGTTGATGTTCAAAAGATTCACACAAACAAGGCAAAAATCCTGGCTATATAAAGAAACAGAGCCATGTATAAAACAAATAATAAAGGTGATTTTCATCTTTATGGCAGTTGGCAGAACTAGCACATAACTCCTTTCAAGTTCTCAGCATTGAGATGTTTTTTTCTTTCTTGTGTCTGTTTGAAAGATTTGCACAAACAAGTGAAAATGGATGTGTGAATAATGAAGGAAGTTATGAAGAAAGTTATCAAAAACAGAGAAGAAAAAAATGAAGGAAGAATTTAAGTCAGATTGAGGTTTTGATGCTGATATTATTTGTCTTGAAAAATGTTACAGCCTGTTTTGCACTTGTTTTCACTAGGTGACATCCAAGAGGGTATTCGACAGT